GTCAAACGTTGCAAAAATCGGTTTTTTGAGTTTTCCAGCTAAACGGTAAGTTTTATTATGAAAATAGGTGAGACAAAAATTATTCATCATGCAATTATCTGTAAAAATTGGTTATACACTTTTTTTCCTAAGAATCACCATTTCGGAGATATAGCGATGCAAAATGTTGAAAAAGTTGTGTTACTCATAATATGCACACGTTTCCGCGCCACCCGTGAGGTAGTGTACATGGCGCGTTTTTTTTCACGTGGTTTCCCCAGTAAGCCTACTCCACGATCTATTGTGGTTCTGTTGAGTTAAAAGCTATTGTATTAAATTGTAGAAAATTATTTGTCTGATTGATACTCTTCTAATGCAACATAATCCATACTGTCTTGTTCTTCTTCTTCTTCCTGCTGGGTACAAATAAATTGTTCAAAGAGCGATGCATCAGATGTCTCCTCGCATATATCGTAAGAATCCTCTTCTACTGGTGATTGAACATTGGAGCACGATTGGCCTCGACAACTGATACATGCTAATGAACAAAACAACCCAACTTTTTTACAGCCGCATTTAGCATTACACCCCGTTTTGCAATTGCAAAAAATTGAATTGAGGAGTTTTTCTGGTGCAGGAGGGAGTAAAGTCTTAACTGGTTCCAATATATTGTCAATTAACTTCCAACCCCAGTCTTCTGGGTTTAGTTTATTACCGAGCCATACTTGAACTTGATAATATACCCGAAATAGATGTTGCTGAGCAGAAGCAGAGGTTGGAGGAAGACAAGCTAGTTGTACTTGTTTTTTTTTATGCGTATTTTTAGCAAAACATAAGTATCGAAACTTATCTAAGCACGTAATTTTTTTTGGACGCGAATTTTTTGGACGGACAATTGAATAGCAGACAGATGTTGCTCAAGGCCGTACAGTCATAAAAAATGAGGGACTGGGTTCTTTTTCGAGTTCATATTCTTACAATTGTATAGTATGTATGTATACGCCACGAAAACTAATATTTTTACTTATATTAACGTTCTGTAACGTTTAAAACGATAATTGACATACATAATATTATGAGTAACACAACTTTTTCAACATTTTGCATCGCTATATCTCCGAAATGGTGATTCTTAGGAAAAAAAGTGTATAACCAATTTTTACAGATAATTGCATGATGAATAATTTTTGTCTCACCTATTTTCATAATAAAACTTACCGTTTAGCTGGAAAACTCAAAAAACCGATTTTTGCAACGTTTGACCTTGATTAAATTTTTTTGCACACGTTGGATTGATGTGGATAATTGACAAATTGTGTGTACTAGGGCCCCCAATATTCATGCCAATTTTTAGCTGGGTGCGAATTAATGTAGCTTTACCCCTATTTATGGAGCTAATTTGACCGGACTAGTACTACCTCTTGAGTGACATCGTTTAAAAATTTGTACACCATGTTGTTTGTCATCACAAAAGGCCTTTATCTAAGCCGAGTTTTATATATTGTATATATTATATAGATACACAGGTTTTTATATTTTAGAAATTCGCTAAGTTAATAATGCCTTGACATATGACATTTTGCGAGATTATAAGTATTCAAGAGAGCAAGCAAATTTTTATTTTATGTTTTCTGTTCGACCCACGCCAAAACCTTCACCAAAGCTAAACCCTCTAGAGATTCATAAAATGCGATAATAATAAAATATCTTATTTTCGTACTGTAAAGTATGAGCTCCTGATTCTAACAAAACTTAGGATAAATTCTTTTTTAGCAGATTTACTAATTAAATCATTTCATATTTAGATCTTATACTAGCGACGCACCCTGGCTTTGCTCGGGTTCGTCCCTAGGTAATTCTTTAAATTGACATAACTTTTTTATTTATGTACCGATTGAAATAAAATAAATACTAAATGCTAAGTGAAGCCAGTATCACGATACATTAGTGAAAATCACACTCAAATCGGTTTAGCCGATTCTGTGATTAGCGCGCACAAACGCACGGACAAACAAACAATTTAAGTCATTGTTTTGGGTTCTATTGCTCTAATAAATACCCTCAATAATACTTTCTCTCAAATATCTTCTACGTACAGACAGCGATCAGATACACTTTTATTATAGGTATAGATAGATGTACTAATCACGTACACGTTTCATTGTACAAAATAGGACCCTTGAATAAGTTTCAAGACTTATAATTTGTTCTGTTCGTATCACTTGTAGCCAATATATATAGATATAAAAAAACGCAATTGAGACAATTTGTAGAGATGGTATCTGGAGCAAAATAATTATATTTATATTTTTATCGTACTAATTTGGTTATTTCATGGTGCAAAATCTGAGTTGGTATATGTATGTTATAACTTATAAGTAAACATTTGACGACACGTTTGAGTCAGTTTATAGTGACCCTATTTGCTGTGTCAGCGGTCGCGGGTTCAAGTTCCGCTGGGGGCATTCATTTGTGTGATGAGCACGAATGTTTGTACTCCAGTCATGGGTGCTTATATTTATAATATTATGTATCTATGTATTTATAAATATCTGGTATCCATAACATAAGCCTCGTAGCTTATCATGGAACTAGATGGTGCTGTGTGTTTATGTCCCAATATATGTATTTATTTATTTTATTTACTTAAAAGTCAGTTAATATTAACAATATCTTTATGACAATAAAATTATGGACCTTTTTATGTACGTATGTGTAGGCTTATTATTCCATCACACTGAAATGGCTGGATCAAATTTATTACAGAATATATATACTATGAAAGGAAATCACACAAATTTAATGCGGGTGAAACCGCGGTGCACAGCTAGTTAGTAATAAAATTTGCCACAATCTGTTACTTTCTATATCTTTTATACCTTTAAACGAGCAATTCTTATATATATATATATATGATGATATACTTAGACCATGCGTTTTGCTTGGTGAATTTTATTTGAAACCCACTTGTACCTCGCAGTAAAGTGTGGGCGGGCCACGATTGTTCTCCGGCGACGAATTTGTAGTAATAAGTAAAGGTGATAGCATTTTGCTACGAGATCCAGCTTGAGTGCGTACTGTTACAAAATTAATAAAATGCAAAAAATAATTATTGGAGCAACACAAGTATTACTTATTTGCAAATATATTAAATTTTCTGAGTAAATTTATTCACTCATTTAAATTACTGCTGGAATTCAACAATTCTTAAAACTTTACGTTTAATATTGATAAAGCTATAATAAAAGCGCTCTTCTTTTAAGCGTTCATATTTTTCTCCATTCAATGGATTTGGAGAACAAAAAAAAATAGAAATGTAACTTTTTTGTATGTGTTATAAATCTTTATTGTTGTGTCGAGTCCATGTGTAATTCAATAATAGGTTATTTTATTTTGAATTACACGTGGACTCGACAAAACGGATCAAAGCCGCCCAAACTCAAAGGTTTCAAAGTAGATGTTATATAACAGCTTATCCTTTACAATTCAGTTTCTAAAGAATCTGCAGTAGAAATTGTCAGAGCTCTAGTTTTGGCGGGCCAGCGAAAGCGGTGAATTATTATGAGATGCTCTGTTAAGTGAAATATAATTGTTTCTCCGCAAATTCATTTTAAAATTTTAATTCATCTGAATGCATCAATAGGATCTACAATTTTTATATTTAAAAGGAATGCAATGTTATTTTTCTGACCTGATATGAATTTCTTTTTATACAACGGTATATTTTTCTTACAATTTTGTGCCCTGTTTCTTTTTCTATTGCATCTTCTATAATATCTCCTCTGTAATTCATATTTGTATCTAATAAAACGAGTTTGTTTTGAGTTTAGAAAAAAGCAGTCATATTTGAATTAATAATAAAATATAATTGACAATAAAAAATTAAAAGACAGTACAAAATAAAAAATAACAAAGAACAGATTTCAGTCTTCTACCTTCTCAAGCAGCATCGATGCCCACATCGGTTACACACAGGCGTTTGAAAGCCGCTTGAGGGCAGTCTAGTGAAAATTGTTGAAATGGACAAGTCTCTCTTTTTTCTATGTTCTCTAGTTTTTGATTTACGTTTAAGAGCCTTGCGTTTCGCCTTTCGTTTTTCCACTCTTCCTACACGTTGTTTTGGTTTTTTCTTTTCACGCCTTTTAGCGCCCATCGTTGCCATTTTTACCTCACTTGTATTAGAATATGTACCAGATACTGATACTTCACTGTTTCTCCTCTGACTGCTTTGATCATCTGTTGAATTGTTTTTTAAATTTTTCGACGTAGTGGGACCGTCTTGTTCTTTATTATTTTCGTCTTCCATTTCCTCGTAAAAAAACTAATAATTTTGTATGGTTTTGTAATATATCTGTCACAAGATATGACAGTGATTTCAAATTCTATTGTTTTCTTTATCGTCTTCTTTCACATTTTGATCATAGAAAGAGGTCTTACGATTATAATCAAAAATAATGAATGCAACTATTTAGTTTTTTTTATTCTTTTAGCAGTATTTTTTTCATAAGTTGGCTGTTTTGTAAATAGTTTAGTTTATGCATTTAATGTATTAGCTTTCGTTAAGGATATTTTAAATTAAACAAAGCATAAGCACACCTATTACTGGGTGTATTGAGAACAAACAAATTAACTTTGAAGGCCACAATATTTTGCCTCATTTTTAAGCTTTAGACGAAACATGTTGTATGTTGTTGTTTCTAGAAATATATCAAGATATTTAGTGTGATTATAGTAACCCATATAAGGTTAACAATTTTAAATGGTTATTGTAATATACTTAATTACGTAATTTTTTTTAGCGTTTTATTGTTTGTGTTGTGTTAAAATTGAACAATTATTGTTAAAGAATTTACTCAAAATGAAAAGTAATTAAGCGATGAAGAAATTTGTTTTTAAAAATGTTTGTCTATTATTTTCTGCGGAATACCTAGTATTATATTTATGAGTTCATTAATATGAAAATCAATTAATCAATCAAATCTATTCTTCATCTTTCTGATTTTAATCTTTTTTGTTTATAGATGTTGGTGTGGTCTCAGCAAAACAGCTCATGGAACAAACGTGCCCACCGCGTTGCCAGGAGAGGCTTGGGTTCCTACCCGACACACTCAAGCGGCTCCCACAGATGCATATGGTACTGTGGAGTTCCAGGGAGGGCCGCATCCTACTAAAGCTCAGGTATCTATACATATAATAAAATTGTAACCAAGCCGAATCTGTACATTAAATATTTTTTGGCAAATCTTATTGAAATAGATATTATTATCGATACAGAGGCCGAATATATAGTTTTTAGAATTTTTGTTTGTCTGTTTGTCTGTCTGTCTATCTGTCTGTCTGTTAACGCATCACGGAAAAACCAGTGGAAGGATTTTGATGAAATTTGGGATGATGATAGCTGGTTATCCAAGTCAACATATAGGACAACTTTTTACTGCGGGAAAATATCATATCTCTGAGAAATCTATACTAAACGTGAAAACGTAAGTAGGCGAACCCGAGCGGAGCGGGGGTGAGCCGCTAATTACTATATAAGATTTTCTATGCCTATGAAATCATATTACCCAATTGACCGATTAATACAAACCATTGAGCCGAAAGTCCCCAAAATATCGTATTTCTACAATGACAAGGATATCCCATATGAAATTAATTATTGAATATCTACAAAAACTGTCTTGATGTTGCTCCTTAACGAAAATAATACAAAAAAATATATATAAATATGTTTGGACATTAACACACAGCACCATCTAGTTCCATGGTACGCTACGAGCTTTGTGCTTCGGATACCAGATAGTTGATACATTACACGTGTAATATAACTTTAAATATATACATATTATAAATATAAACATCCCTCACTGGAGTACAAACTTTCGTGCTTATCACACAAATGAAAGCCCCCAGCGGGACTCGAACCCGCGACCACCGGCACAGCAAGTAGGGTCACTAAAAACTGAGCCAAACGTGTCGTCAAACTAATGAAATAGTTATATTGTTGTTTTAAAATTTTTACACATTATGGTAGCAATAGGAGTTCAATAATGTATATGGTAAATAAGACTTTTCTAGTCTTAATTTAAAGAAAGCATCCAATAATGCCAGCCGAGCTGCTAGTGGGTAATCTAAATTAAATTCGTGCTATTTTACAATATTAAAGATTTTTCTTTTGTCTTAAGCGAAATTTTAAGGAATCGTTTTATTTTTATACGTTTGTTCTGCTCTAGGCTCTACAAAGAATTTACGTAATTGGATTTTTCTCATTATTGAAAGTATACTGTTGTTGATATTGGTAGGTATATTTTATAAATAAATATTTTGCTAATTTTTTACTACACAGTATCCTTATTATTAGATAAACTTAATTCTTAATTATTTTACGCTTTTAGTACGTGCGGCTCTCTCACGACACTCGACCTGACCTCATAGTCCAACTACTAACAAGAGAATGGGCTCTAGATAGACCAAAGCTGCTTATAACCATTCAAGGAGGAAAAGCTAATTTCGATCTGCAACCTAAGCTGAAGAAAGTGCTAAGAAAAGGTCTACTAAAAGCTGCAAAGACTACTGGAGCTTGGATATTTACTGGAGGGACCAATACCGGTATTATTTTTGCTAATTTTACATACAAGCTTTATGTTTTAATAATCGTAAGCCTTTAATTTTTTACTTTGGCACACACTCTGCATGACATTGCCAAGTCTGTAACATACTCGTATATCTTTATTTTTATAACATTTTAAGGGTTGCCAAATTTTCATTTGTGGCTATTCTGGAATATTTGCGAGGTAATCTATACATATTATAATTAAATTCTTAACCAAATCTGTACATTAAATATATTTTTTGGTAAATTTAATTAAAATAGTCATTATTATCGATGCAGAGGCCGAATCTATAGAATTTAGATAATTTTTACTGCGGAAAAATATTTCATCTCTGAGAAATATATACTAACAGTTAAAACTTATGTAGGGACGAACCCAAGCGGAGCGAGTGTGAGTCACTAGTTGTAAAATAAACATAATATTGTTATTAAGTTATTAAATTATTAATTTAAAGTTATTCAAATATTAAGTAAAATATTACTATTATTTTTAAGTTACTTATTTACTAGGTACTTACATATTATGCACATATACGTATATTATAAGTGCCAAAATGTGTTTGTTGGGTTGTCTCTCTTACGCGCAGTGACCAAGCAAGAGACTGATGTGATTTTGCATAGGGATGTTCATCAAGAAAAGAGTAGGAGTACAATAAGATATTTTTCATCTCGGTAAATTATACGTTTGTCGTTTCCCGCTGTCTGTCTATCCCTATGTATGTTTAGATCTTTAAAACTACGCAACGGATTTTGATGCGGTTTTTTAAATAGATAAAGTAATTTAAGAGAAAATATACTAATATTTTTTCCTGTCCAAAATAAAATACATTCGCAAAAAAACAAATATTTCATATCATATAATTTGCTCAACAGGTGTAACAAGGCAAGTTGGAGACGCGCTACAACTAGAGCGGTCCCAGCGAGCGGGCAGGGTTGTCAGTATAGGTATAGCGCCGTGGGGCATCGTAGAGGGCGCCAGTGAACTTATAGGGAGGGGGAGGGACGTACCCTACCATGCGATTGCTTCACCAAGGTAAATATATTGTTATATTTTTCTACCTGTTGTTATAATTGAGATGTCCGTATGTTTTGTTTTGTAAGAAATGTGAAATGAATGATGAATGGAGTTACCCAGAGTACAGCCTTAAAAGCATGTTTAAAAGTATACTGTTGTTAGGTTTTTAATTATCGAACTTCTAATATAAATGCAAAATTTTGTATGTATTACTTCTAGGAGTAGGTACCTTAAGTATGGTACGCCTATGAATGGGACGACTGGATGGATTTGGTACATAGTAATATGTACATAATGTTTAATACATAGTATATACCTATAAACTATGAACTTTTGATAGTCCTATACAGAAACATGAATTTTAGTACATAGGAATACAATCCTGCAGGTAACGAAACCTGGTACTTACTCTGGTAATCCATATCCATACTAATATTATAAATGTGAAAGTGTGTTTGTTTGTTTGTCCTTATTTCACATCAAAACATAGTGACGGATTGATTTTGATTTTTTGTGTGGAAATAGTTGGAGGTCTCCAGGGAGATTAACTCCTTCCCACGGGATTTACGTTATAATATAACACAAAAAATATTTATGATCAGAATTACTTGAAACTTGGTATTAATTAATACTCTTCAATAGAATTAAATAAATACGTGTTTTAGCATTTTTAGAAATTCATCCTATAAGGGGGTAAAATATGGGGATGAAAATTTGTATGAAACCTACCTTTTAGAGTTTTTTTTTGTACTCTTAGCGCGAGCGAAGCCGCGGGTTCTGCTAGTTTGTTTATAAAGCGAAGTCGTTCCTTTCATGAAATTGTACTCGTAATTCATATGTACGACTTATTTTCGATCATAAATACCGAAACTATTACTTTGTCTTTGTGAATGTACAGCATTTAAGGCTAATACAAAATATTCAAATATATATTTTTTTGTCTATCTGTCTGGGAACGCATCACAAGAAAACCACTAAACAGATTTTGATGATATTTGGTATGATAATAGTTCAACATTTACGTTACTTTTTACTGCGGGAAAATATCTCATCTCTGAGAAATCTATGTATACTAACCTTAAAACGTATGGACGAACCCGAGCGGAGTGAGGGTGAGTAGCATGTATATAAATATTTATTGTATACCTTTTGTTTATCTTCACTATAATATGTTTGTTCAATTGAAGACTGACAACTGAGAGATGAATTAAACCACAAATCTACTTTAGTTATACTGATTAATAGTGTACTAGAGTTTTGCGGCTTTGAAGTGACGTTTGAGTAAACTCTGTGAGAAATTACTAAATGTACTTAATTAACTTTACTTGACAAGATCTTAAATAATGTTTGACTAATACAATGATACAGAATAAATTGATGTGTTTATAATTAAAAAAAAATACGGTTCTTCCAAAAAAGACGTAAGTTGTAAGACAAGAGTTAGTTTACATATCTGTCTGTATGTCGCGGTAACTTTCTCGAGTGTACTGGTCGAAGAACTTCGTGCAAACTTTGACCTATAAAGCTCCATAAATCTCAGAGTTAAAGGATTCGGTTTTTGTCTTTTAGTTAGGGGACCATCGTCATGCGATTTTAAAAAAAAATGTTTAAGGTATAAATAAATAAAGATTAATTCATGGGCACAGGTTTTATATCTATTTTTATCCAATAGTTTAAAAATTAATACTTATTTCTGCACTATATTATATATATATATATATATATATATATATATATATATATATATATATATATGGTTTTAAGATTAATTGATGTGAAGGCTTACAATTTATTTTTTAGTATGTTCAGTAGCTTCTAGAAAAGCCGTTTGAACACAATTTGCTTCGCCAATGTCGCGTGGACTTAATATCCTTGGCTGTGCTTTGTATCAACCATTTGATAGGTTATTAAATGAAACAAATAGTTTAAGTATTTATCTTATAATACATCTTATTTGAATGGATCAAGGGTCGATATGACAGTGGAGGAATTTAGGGCGTTCATCTGCGCTTGGTACAGGACGTCGTTGATTAGTTTCTCTGCTAATATCCTCATATTTGGGGGCAAACCTCTAAGCTTCGCTGCAACATTTATACCTGAAGAGAAATATTTAATAAGAAAAATATACAAGTTATACAAAAATTAAAGTAATACAATTATAATTATAAGTTAAAAATAAAAAAAAAACCTCTACGTAAATTAATTGTCATTTAACGTTTACACTGGCACGCGTGAAGCACTTAATCGAGTAAGTAATCGTACGCTAAAATGCCTTACATCATTTTAGAAAAGAACTGATACTCTTAAACTGCTAGACTGATATTGACCAAACATAGCTAAAACCCACCGCAAGAAAACTGGCTTTAAAAATGAAAAAAACCGCATCGAAATCGGTCCATCCGTTTGAGAGCTACTATGCCACAGACACACACACACACACACACACACACACACACACACACACAGACAGACAGACACACATCAACGTCAAACTTATGACACCCCTCTTTTTGCGTCGGGGGTTTAAAATAGAGAAAAAACTACATAGTGTGTATAGTCCTATAAACTTTCTCGTTAGTATAACAGTATTAGTATTACTGAATTTTACAGCTCAATAAAGTCTAATTAATTCTCCATTAGGATTTCCAGTTCGTATAAAATACTTCTTTTAGTGTGTTTATCTTCATTTAGTTAGAGTATCTGTTACGAGCTAAATGTATTGTCGCGAGTTCATGTTTTATATGTAATAATACTAACAGAACCCGCGGTTTCGAGCGCGCTAAAACTACAAAAAAAAAACTCTAGAAAGGTAGGTTTCGTACAAATTTTCATCCCCTATTTTACCCCTATATGAATGAATGAATTTCGAAATATGCTAAAATACGCATTGAAGTAATTGTATTGGAGAGCATTAATACCAAATTTCAAGTAATTCTGATCAAAAAAATTTTTTTAGGTTGTATTACGGTTTTTTCTCGTGGCATATTTTAACTAAGTAAGTTAAGTTTCAACGCCTCGTCCGAATACCCTTCAAAATGTTTTTTTTTTAATTCTTCCAACATCAATACTATAGAAGTATAAAAAATATATGAATTTGATTTTATTATTAATATTTAAAATATATCTGTTTCATATTTTTTGAACAGAATTATCTTATTTCTAACTACTCAGGCTTCGGCCTTTGGGACCGAGGAGAAATTACTCGTAGATTCTCATAATATCGTAAGACGTCTCTATGGGTCGAAAAGTCTTTAGAATACAGTATATGAAGTGAATTAATTATATTTAAGTTATGTTTATTTCTTTATATTGTTACATACATATTTCGTTATATTAGTATTTTCTGTGTCTTTCCGAGCACTCTATCAACATTGGGAACATTAATTGGTTATTCTATTACTATATTATTAAATATATATATGTACAATCAACGAAAAATTATGAAATTAAAATTTATTCTTATGGTTTTAGGACGTCATGAGCAAAATACACCATTAAAAGTATAAATAGTATACAAAACTTATTATTTACACAAATTAAAGACTTCACATATAACGATAGTTACACGTATTTGTATCGGCTATGAATCCTATATAATGATTTACTTATATCGCGATGCGGTGGTCCCACAGAGTATTTTTTTATTATCTATATATATGGCTTCTCATAGTTTATATTTATATAAAACTACTGCGCTTTTTAACTTTTTTTTTGTTTTGGCGTGAATAATAGTGCATTAAAACATTTTTCATAAAAAAACCCATTAGCGTACGAAATATGTAATTACAATTTTGAATTAGGTTATAAAAATATATTTATTAGTTACGATTTTACATATTAAAATATATTACAATTTTCAAAAAAAAATGTAAAAATAACATTTTGTACGTAAAAAAATCGTAAATCTAACTTTACTATAATAATCTAGAAAGAAATATCGATCTTAGAAAATATATGAGCAGTCTCGTACATTTTCATCTGTGACCTGAAGCGTACTCACGTAGACAATTATCGTTCATTCATTCAGAAGCATGGAGTGGTATTGGTTAGAATGAAAAATGTAATGGAATGCATTTTCTTCGTAGCAACTACTGCTTTTAATAAAACATACAAGTAAAAGTATGGTGTGTTTGAGAATAATACTAAAATACGTATTTTATAATAATAGTTTTTTTTTATGTAATTACTGTTTACCGTATATCTTACGACGTAGACATTTTAGTAAACTGCCTAATAGGTCTATTAATTATTTGTCAGAGGCAGCCTATCTGTATAATTTGACAAGAGATCGAAAATATTATCCGTTAGCTTCGCCGTATATCAAATATATATATTTTTTCTTAAAACGTTTATGTTAAAAACATATAATTTTAAATTACTCTTAACACACAACTTTCCGCTATTTCCCTTGCGGGCAAGGCATAGAGAATAGAGTGTCTAGGATCTATACATAATATGTAGGTACCTCTTCCGCTTCTTTCATTCTTATCATTCTCTTCGTACACGCTCATTTTAAAATGTTATTTGTTATATTTTATTTAGAATTAAATAATTTATATTAATCACAAGCATCTAAACTATTAGGAAGTGTTTCCTATATTTTTTTTAATACACTTGAATCTTTTTCTATATAAAATGAACGATATATTTGCTGTCGAGTCACTAAAGTTGTTTTAAGCCGATTTAGCTCCTCCAGGTAAATTTCTAAGAAATCCGGGTAAACTAAGAAATTAATTGCAAACTGTAACACCGGTCTGCCCGCAGTCGTTGAGGGATTAAGTTTGAATTTAATACGGTTAATAGATAAAAATGCAGAGTAAGAGAATACCCAAAAAATATATGACATAAAAGTTCACTTCACACAGGCCATAACATTGCCCCGCACAATAGTTTTTACAATATGTAGAACTAAAGTACTATATTGTAAAACCAAGCGCGGAGTATTGCGATGGAATAATTTGAACTGCCGAAAGAAGAAGGAAATATAGCATTGCTCAGGCATAATGCTCCATATTAGTGAAAGGATTTCTAAAATCAGATTAGTTACTGCTATCAGTAAATAAAGCTTTCCTGACTAATTTCGGTTACAGCAGCCAATGTCACTGAAACTATTCAGATGCATAGGGGATCTTATACTGCACAGGTACACTGGCAAACAAAAGTGCAATCTCTATATCTTTCATTCTCCAATTCCAGTGAGACGACAAGTAGACACGAACGATCGATTAGGAGTAGTTCTGACGCTTTTACATTGACGCTACTTAAAGTACGGGGGTGAAATACCACTTAATGCCTAACTGCGGGTTGTTATTATATATGTGAAGTATTTTTTCATAGAAAACCTCAATGATTATATTTGTTCTGACCCAACACTCGAACCCAGTACCTCCAGATCTACAGCAATACATGCTGGAGTGCAGCTAGACGATAGACCAAGAGGCAAAGGTTTACCATCATATTCAGCTCTTTTTAACGTCAACATGCGTTTTAACGTCCTCCCTTCAATACGAGGGGGATCAGGCCCTATTCCACTATGCTGACCAAGTGCGGGTTGACAGACTTCACATGTCGTCCGAAAACTTGCTAGGTTCTCTCCAACATGCAAGTTTCCTCACGATGATTTCCTTCATCGTAAGACAAGTGTGTAATCATGTTGTAAATAATTCGCACATGAAAATATGAGAAGTTAGTGAGACCCGGGTCTTAAACCCGCTTCACACGGTTTCCCAAGCGAACGCTTTACCACTAGGCTACCACTGCCATCAAAAGTTTACCTACTACAAACAAATTAATAAACTATAACTCTTTATAGTGAAATTCTCCTTACCTATAGCATCGTATTCATCATCCACCTCTGAATAATGTCTTTTGAATTTATCTTCTTCATAATTAAACTGTTTTGGTGTGGAAGCTTCCCCTACTTCCGCCATGTCCGGCGTTATATAACTGTAATCTGAATAGCTTTCATTCTTTTGCTGACAGGAGTCATCTTGTTCAGGAACATCGACGTCGTCTTCTTCAAATGCCTGGAATGAATTCACATATTTTCAAATTATAAAATTCACAGATTTATTTTATATATATATATATATATATATATATATATATATATATATATATGTTTATTTTATCCATTAGGTTGGTGAAGAAGTGTTTATTGTAGTATTTGATTTATTTTGTATTTTAATTTTACTATTGTAGTTTTCGCGATTTGACGAGGATTTATCGTTATTTCTGTCTATCTGTTTGTCTCGTGTATCAGTTCTCTAAGTTTTAAAGTCCAAAAACTTAAGCTGTGTAGACATAAAGGATATTGAATAAATTATATGGGGCTCTCCAACCTATAAAACATGTCACTTATGCAAAGAAATTTTTTTTGCTACGTTATTAAGTAGATGGACAATCGGCAAAACATTTTTAATAATATTATCGGACTACTGTTACGAGTATAAAGGCGATATTTTTGAGTGTTTATATGTATTAGGGTGGAACGAAAAAATTTTTTTTTTGTCTCAGCTTGGGGGTGGAATGTGTAGCTAATAAAAAAACTAAATTATTGAAATAAAAAAAATTTACTCAACGTTTTGAGGTGGCCCACTTATTTTTAAAAGAACTAATTAATTTAAATTTGTAGTTTGAATATATTTTTTTTCGATTGACAAATATACATAGTCATTTTCTATTTAACTTTCACTGCAATACAAAAAAATAATGTTATTTTTTTATTTTTTTGAAATTGTAATATTAAAGAAAAAAAACACAAAAATAAAAAAAAACGCTTCACCCTAATATGTATGTATATTTGCGAGGTTAAGTTGCTAGTAGTGTTATATTAATAAAAAGTGGATTTATACCTTATATCTTTTTAAATTTTGTACATTTTATACCTGCTCTCGCTGTTTACAACTTTTAAAGGGTACGTAAGGGGGCAAATAATATCATGTAAAGTACTCGAGAACTCTGCCTCCCATCGTTTCATTAAATTGAAACCTTACTCTTACAGTGCAATGAAACTTTCACTATGACATTCAACTGCCTTGGTTGTGTAGTGGCTTGTTTGTGTAGCTGGAGGTCCTGGGTTCGAGTTCCTAGTCGGGACAAGTTTAGTTATTGAGTTTTTCTGTTATAAGTCCCAGTAACATACCGTTAGTAAGTTGGCGGTTTCACCGATAGCTCATAAAGCCGTCGGTCCTAAGCCTAATCTTTTCACTGGTCGTTTAAATTTGAATTTGAGAGTTATCATTTGGCTAGTCTGTGAGAATGGCCACCGTGTCCGAAATCGGTCAAGAGGGCATTATCATTATTATTACCATGGCATAAAGTTGTATTACCTGTACGATACGTTAGTAACTATGTAAACAAAATAATATATGAAGCCTACAAGAAATGTCCAATTTTGTTGTTTATATTAATTTGTACCGTTAAATTTTCCTTTGTTTAAAAGATATAATTAATCGAATAAAATTAAAACGGATATTTAAACCTGTTATTATGAAGATTAATTTTTATATACATGTACATATAGTTATTTAAGAAAACCTAATGTATTTTATTCATATGAAAACTACATATATTATTATCTATATAGTTATATAGATATATGCTATAAATCTAACCAAGCCAAATCTGTACATTAAATATTTTTTGGAAAATCTTATTGAAATAGACTTAATTATCGATACAGAGGCCGAATCTATAGATTTTAGAATTTTTGTCTGTCTGTCTGTTATCGCATCACGGAAAAACCACTGTAGGGATTTTAATTATTATTAAATTTGGTATGATGATAGCTGGTTATCCGGGTCAACATATAGGATACTTTTAACTGCGGGAAAATATCTCATCTCTAGGAAATCGATACTAAACGTTAAAACGTAAGTAGGGACGAACCCGAGCTAAGCGAGGGTGAGTCGCTAGTCAATACATAAACATTCAATTTAAAAATATATATTATGTAATGCTAATTCTGACTGCTATTATTAATACGAAAGTTTATATGTGTGTATGTTTGTTTCTTTTCACGCTGAAAGGGCTGAATGGACTTTGAGGATATTTAGTATACACAGATACTCTATGGCTAAACCTAGAAGCACCTAGCAAAACCACAAGACCTAAACTCTAGGGATTTAAGAAAAAAATGGCTACTGTCAAGTACTGAATTATTATTAAAAGCATTATATTATATGTACAAAATACTTTGATTTATTCAGTTGTTACGATTAAAGTAAGCAGAAATCTTTAAAATGCAAAAGCTTCGTATTAATAATTTATTATCCTTACGAACATTCATAAACGTACAAACAGAAATAGAAATATGAATTATTGTTCAACGTTTATGAGCTTTCCAACCCGTTAAAACTTTGATCCGCTTAGCAAAATGGTATTGCAACAGTTAATCTTGTTCAAATTTAATTAATATCGTTCCGATGCAAGTTCAAACTATGTAATATATATCAACTTACTTTGAATATAATATGTACTTTTGCATAAAAATAACAATAATTATTTTTCAGTTTAAAACTAAATTAATTTTGTTAGTATTTTAGATATTAAATTAGAGATATTAAAGAATATATGTAGTACCATAATATGAATAAACACTTTTTAACAAAAACATTCAATAAAAGCACTAAAAAGTAAAAAATAACTGATTGGTAGTTTTCATTTACTATACTCGTACATACCTAATCAAATATTTTCAAAGTCGGTGTGCTTTGCTTTGTATCGGCTGGCACCGTGGCATAAGAAGTGGTAGAAAAAATCTTTCAAATAAATAAGTAATTTCTAAATCTAAATTTTTACACAGGGTATCTGATTTATATTGAAATCTTTTTTATCGTTCAACATCATCTCCTTCTCCATATCCCAAATTACTTGGGGTTGGCCCATTACGTCTTCCTCTTCCACTCTCTCCTATTGCTCGTCAACTCATCATTCACCCCTTTCTCATTCATATCCTGTCTCACACATCTTTTTTTCGGTCTTTCTCCATCCATCTATAGTCATTCTCGTCACATCGTTTCACCCCTTCTTTTCACATGCCCCTACCAACTCATACTCTTTTATCTTTGTACCTTAATAAATAAATATAATTTATGATTAGCCGATTTTTTGTATTACGGATAAGTCCAGGGGTTTTAAGACCACATTCAAACAATGAGCGTTTCAATAACAATTGAAAACGTTATATAGACACGAGTTATAATATTTTAGTCCATTTAATTTAAAAAAAACTTCTATTATAACATAATAGTATAGATAGTCCTAAAGTAAATATAAAATAATTGGGCTCTTCCACCGCACAATAGTTTGAAGCATACGGTAATTGTTTCAGATCAAAGCTAGCGGTACTCAACAACCGACACGCGTACTTCCTCCTGGTGGACAATGGGTCGGTCGGTCGGTACGGTGCGGAAATAGTGCTGCGGCGGAAACTGGAAAAGTATATTGCCGCGCAAAAACTACACCCTTGTGAGTATTCTATATTTTATTGACTGATTTAATAAAAGAGGAGTTATGGAATTTATAATTTATAAGAAAAGAAAATACTGTGATATTACAAATATGTATTCTTCATTATATATACATATGTAATATGAATACAAAACAAATGTACATTTAGTAATTTTATATACATTTTGCAAGAATGCTAGCTCAATGCCGTTCAACAAGCCAGCTCTCTTGTCATCAGTATATGTGTAAGTACTATGGAGGTCAGAAGTAAGGAGGACCATCTCAATGTATTAAAAAGTGTCCGTTGAAAGGAAGCAAATTAAGGTGGCGCTATAGTAGCAAGTGGAAGAATTTTAAAAGGAGCGCCACAAATTATTAGAGTAGGATACTAAATTAAAAAAGGAAGGAAAAATTTCCGCTTCGTTACATCACATTTTTTTTTATTATTATAATATACAGACAAACATGACTATGGAATAAAATTATACAGTATTTTTAAGTACCCAAATTATTTGTAAATAGCAAATAGAAAATAGGATTAAATAATAACCGAAGTTAAAAAAAAATTAAATTGTAACAAGCAAATTTTCAACCCAGCACACTTAACTCTGTTTATAACTGCTAAATTCATATCATTTCCATTTCCTACGCGCTTTTTCGGTGAGTGTTCGAACAATAATTTGCTGTTTACAAGCGGACACTTTTTCAACTAATCCCCCATAAAAGACGGTCCTCCTTACTTCTACTCTCCATAATATGTACCTAAAGAAAACGCCTTAAGAAGTGTTAGTGTTGAAATTTGATTTCTTGGGCCAAGTGCCAGTTTCTTCTGCTACTTCGTACTTATTATATAAGACGTTATATTTTTTTTAAATTCACTATCAGATTCAATAAAACTTAGTGTTAATGATACTCGGTATTTCTTTATTTTCGTTTTTTAAATCACCTGGTTTTATGTGTTGTTTGTGAAATGTTTTTTCCCAATGGCTCCGAAGGTCAATCAAACAAGTGACGTTTGAGTATAATTACTGTAAGGTCCTTAATGTTGTTTATTCATTTAAATGAAAGAAATAACATATAACATTTAAATATGATATCTGGAAATTATAAACGCAAGAAAATTGTTTATTACAAAATGTTATTGCATAAGTACACATTGCATGTATATGTATATACTCGTAGCACTTTGACTTATATTTGAAACGTATATATATATATATATATATATATAATTGTATTTTATACATTACTATTTTTACATGTATTTAATTTTTTTTAAATTATTTAATTTGATTTAAATGATAGGGATAACAAAGTTTAATTTAGTTCACTGTGATAAAAAAAATTAGAACTACATGGTACTTGCCACGTCAAATATTCGGTGGAAAGTAGAAAACGCCGTAAATCAATTTTCGTCCCGTCACTAAGATAGCGTGAGCACTGATTAGATACTAATCGTTAAACCATCTAGAAATTTCATATATCATAATAAAAGTAAGTGACGATTAATTATTGAAATTACATATGTAGCGGAACAATATTTGATTCATGTATTCACATTATTTATTTTGAAAATATTATTAATATGTAAACTATGTGTAAATTAAAATTATAAAATAATAGCGACTTACCCACGCTTCGCTCCGGTTCCGATTCCCCATACAAACTTTCATCCTCATTTTCAACCCCATAAGGGATGATTTCCGGGATAAAATGTATCCTATGTCCTCCCCAGGGTCTCAAACTATCTTCTTACAAAATTTCATCTAAATCGGTTCAGTAGATCCAGAGATTATATCCTACAACGTCACAAACTCACAAACTTTACCTCTTTATAATATTAGTATAGATACAAGCAATATACAAATAGAAATCCTAAATTAAAACTAAAAATATTTAAAATAAAATTGTATAATAAAATCATTCAACGAACACTTGGACAAATGTATTAGCTTTTAATATTATTTAATCGCTATCGCTTGTGGGCGGAGCCAACTGCCCTGCAAACTGCAACTGCAGAATTGCCATTTGCCATGCAGTCTGCTCACATCCGCTGTCGACGCTAGCTTTGCATCTCTCTGTTCTCCGCTATTTAAAATCGCTTTTTCTTATAACTTATGCCATCCTCTTTTGTGTGCTACGTTACGTGTGTAATGTATATTGTAAACTGTGCTGTCTTCCACTCCTTCTGTTTCTACTAACTGATAACTACGAGTATATGTATACTACATATTGTGCAATATATCGCATTCAAGAGTTGGTGGTTTAATTTAACGCCTCATAGCATAACTTTATATCACTTGCTATCTCAACCACCACATTGGCGACCACCACACATATTTAGTATAATCCATATAGGGAACAGTATAGATAGTAAGAACCTCACCCCTAAACTTGAAGATGCAAAAACCCAACTAAGTGACCACAAATATAACTAAACTTAAGTGACCGGAAGGGAAGCCGAATGGTTAATAGTTTAAATGCGAAAATGTATATTTTTGTTTATAAGCTATGTGAAAAAAAGTAATTTTTGTATAGGAATAATTTATAGTTTTAAGATATCGTAAAATGTCACTAATAATTTTCTTGTAACTTTATTTTTATTTGATCAATGTTTTAGTTTGTATCGATTAAAGATACATTATTGTGTTATTTTACAAGCAATTCAAATTAATCGATTGCTAAAGTAAATATCGATATGTATGATTTAAATCGATGAATCAATTTGCTGGCGTTCGAGAGGTTAATCATCGTTATGCATTCACTGTACCTGAATGAAAATACAGACGAATTGGGTTCAGCTTGTTTATTTTTATATAAAAGGCAAAGGGCTTTTGATTCGTACTCGGGACTCTTGTGGAATAATTTGTTTGAGCTCTTTCAAATAGCATATTATTTTTAAGTGGCTAAAATATTTAATAAACTAGCGACTCACCCTCGCTCCGCTCGGGTTCGTCCCTACTTACGTTTTAACGTTTAGTATAGATTTCTCAGAAATGAGATGTTTTCCCGCAGTAAGAAGTATCCTATATGTTGACTCAGATAACCAGCTATCATCATACCAAATTTCATCAAAATCTCTCCAGTGTTTTTTCCGTGATGCGGTAACAGACAGATAGACAAATAAAAATTCTAAAAACTAGATTCGGCCTCTGTATCTATGATAATGTCTATTTCAATAAGATTTTCCAAAAAATATTTAACGTACAGATGTGACTTAGAATTTTATTAAATGTATAGATTTATTTATTCATACGTTTTTACAAATAAAAATATTAAAATCAATAGATGTGAAATGTGGTGGGAAATGTTATATTTTTTAAGATTTCTTGTACAGAAGTAGTATAATATCTTTAAAACCCGAAGTTATACATACTTAACCGGTCAACATTTTTTTTGTTTAAAACATAGTAGGTACAACAAGTGATAATTAAAAATTAAAAAAAACCGACCATCTTGGACCAATTTCCATCAAACATAGCTAATAAAACTCACTACTTATTCGCCTTTCAAACAAAAAAAAACAAAATCAATATTGGTTCAGGAGCGACGATGCCACAGACAGACACACACACAGACACGTCAAACTTATATCACTCGGTCATTTTTGTGTTGGGGTTAAAAATATATAAATATATGGTAAATAATCACTATAATAATAATTATTACTCACGATTATTTATTAGTCTATTCATAAAATTTTAATAAATATACAGATATTTCTAAAATGTATATTTGACCGACTTCAAAAAAGAGATATTTCGTTACGCGATATTTTAGACAATTTCAAGTTCCGCAATGAATAGATTGATTTCATATAAATTTCATAATGAAATAATTTGTTTTTAATTGATTTTATATTATTAAACGTACACGTAAAAAGTACGTTTTACTTAAAAAGTGATTATTTTATCTTATCTGTTTATTTTACCTTCCATACCAATACTCACCGGCGCAGGCGAACCTTGTTTGACTTTTAGATTGCTCCCTTCCTCCTCAAATACGAATGATAGCATGTTATAATACCACAAATGCGGTGTATATATCTCGTCTGGTTTCGTCGCCTGCGAACGACTTTCTTGAACCTTTTTAAATTCCCGCCGTACACACGCTCGAAGACTATCTATTTTTCTCAAAACGTGAACTCTGGTCGCTGCAGAATCGTATTTTTGCACTAATTCAGTTAATTTTGTTACTGCATCGTGTCGTTTCTTCTTGTGTTTGTACGTAAGACATTTTCTGTCCCAAAGGCAGTTTAGCTCTTTGTACAGTAGAATGAATTCCTTTAGTAATTGACGTGGGAATACGACGTTGGTCTCAGCCATTTTGTCGCGTTCGACGAGCGGCACGGCGCGCAGATCACTGAACTTGTTGGAACCCCGTCCGCCTCGCCCCGCACGGTCGCTGCCTGCGTCTGTATATTGCAACCCGTGTGTAGTAATGATTTTGATACACCACTCGTCATAATTTCCTCGTTACATTTTTAGATTTACGCGAATATTTAACATTTTATTGATTTGATAATTAGATTTATGCTAATGTATACTAATATTATAAAGAAACAGAGTTTGTTTATTTGTTTGTTTGTTGTTTGAACGCTCAGGAACTACTAATCCGATTTGTAAAATTCTTTTTGCATAAGATTTATTGAGGAAGGTTACATATTCCGTGGGATAGATTTGTTTTTGTCCAGGGACGAACCTGAAGCGAAGCAAGGGTGAGTCGCTAGTATTAGATATTTTAAATAAAAGTATCTTTTTGAAATTTTCACGGACTTATTGCAATTAACGACGTTTCCAATGCTTTATTTAAATTTATAATAAAAGATAATTTAATTTAAAATTTCTTTACTGTATAAGTAAGGCAGTGGTAGCCCAGTGGTAACGCGCACGCTTGGGAAACCGAGTGAAGTGGGTTCGGATCCCGGGTCTCGCACCTCTGATATTTTCATGCGCGAATCATTTCTAACATCGTTACCACTTGTCTTACGGTGAAGGAAAACATCGTGAAGAAACCTG